CTGGGTGGGCACTGATGGCCAGAGGGCCCAATTGCCCAGTTCTCTGCTTCATCTCTTGGTTCCAGTTTCTGGAAGAGTTCTTTTTTTTTTTTTTTTTAGAGACAGAGTCTCATTTTGTCGCCCTGGTAGAGTGCTGTGACATCACAGCTCACAGCAACCTCCAACTCCTGGGCTCAAGTGATTCTCCTGCCTCTACCTCCCAAGTGGCCGGGACTACAGGCACCCGCCACAACGCCCGGCTATTATTTTTAAATTACTAAAAAATAATTTTATGTTGTAGTTCTAAATTACTCATTTGAGCTTTATATCAAAGAACAGAAAGAAAATAAAAACTAAGTATCAGTGTGGCATATCAGGCACTTGATTGCAGCTGTCATTGTTTGGTAGGCCGGGCCAGATTTGAACCTGCCAGCTCAGGTGTATGTGGCTGGCGCCTTAGCTGCTCGAACCACAGGCGCCGAGCCTAAAACACAAAGTTTCTTATTTCTGACCTCATCTGTGTTCCTATTTTGCTCCAACCTTAATGACTGCATCCATCATATTGCATTCTTATCACTTCTCTACCTTGATATCTCTATCAGAATGTGGGTTCCCTCAAGACAAGGACCATGTTATTGTGGTATCCATAGTAACTTCCACGGTGTCTGAGATGTAAGTATTCCGTAAATGTTTATTGAATAAACAAACCAGCAAACTATAACAAAAAGATTCATCTTTTTGATCTCAGTTTCTCTACTTCCAAAATTAGAAGATAATACTATTTTCCTAGATTGTATTGTTTACTGGAGATATTTATTACAGACATAAAAAGTTATTAAAAGGGTAGTTAAGTCATACAATTTTTATTCAGTTTAAAGCTTTTAAAAATCTAACCAATAAATTTCAGGGAAGAAATGTAGGATACTTGAAGTAATCTGTAGTAGTAATCTCCACCCTTGGGCTCTAAGGGTTAAAAGAAAAGCAGGCTCCTGCACCAGAGATGAGAATAATCTCTCACTAGGTGGCTCTCGTTCCCGTGAGTGGGCGGTGTTTGGTGCGGGGACCCGACGATTGCGGGCATTGTACTGCCGCAATCACAGAGCGTCACGCTGCATCATACTAGGCGTTTGCAGAATGAGGGGGTATAGCACGCTTTCTATTTGTTAATGACAATCTGTCCTTAGGATTTATTTCAAAGTGGGCTGCACTTTCGTTTCCTCCAAACTTATTATACATGATGTTCCAGACAAACATTAGTCCAGTCTTTCAATAGGCAGGGTCTCAGAGAAGGATCTTTAAAGTGATAGCTAGCATGGAAAGACAGTAGGAATCAGGTATTCAAATCAAACCAAAATTAAATCAAAATAGCCCATTAAAATCCTGACTTTAACTAGACAATGAAGGATGCATTCTTGGAAGGTTTTAATTGGGATGGCTGTTTAAATGTCTCCACAATACGGATCAAAAATAAAAATTGTAAAATGTTAATTACTTCTAATCATCACAATGACGACTTCTCCAGGTATTTTTCACACCGTATCACAATTGACCCCATTCTTTACTTCTTTTTAGCCCTAAACCTGACACAAAATACACATGACATTCAAAAAGACTTGTTCTGAGAATTCTCTTCCTAGACTCCACTCATCGGCCTTCGTGCCAATGTATGTAGGATTCTTCTTGATACTATTTTATCCTATGTTTTCCCCTAACCGAAAAGATACAGAGTGACAAGTTCTCAAACACTGCAGACCCAAGAAAAGAAGAAGGTTGCAGAGGCGGTAGGAACTTGGAGGTCTGCTTTTAATAATCAAGTGGTTCCTCCTGGTAAAGTGGTCAGGATTCAAAAATTAAAACAAAAAAACATAAAATAAAAAATAAAAATAACCAAACTGGATCCCCACTGGGGGGCGAGGGGCTCTAAGAAGGATAGCAATAGTCAGACTCTCTCTCAGCTCCTCACGGTTCCAAAGGCTTCAAAACCACTTGTTAGCTTTCTAGGATACGTTCCTACCCTCACTGTGGACATCGGTCTGGGTGGGTGGATTTCGAGTAGTGGTCAACCCGTTAGAAAAATTCCGAAATTCCAGTCGGCAGGAGAGGGATCGCGGCTGTCGTGTGCCGCTCTCCTCCCTCGGGGACCCCGTCCGGGCGGGATCCCGCCTCCCCGAGCCCAAGGCAGTTGTGGGGAAACCCCTAGCCCTTCTTCACAGCCTGGCGTGCCGCCTAGCCCTCTTGTCTCCAGTCTGCCGCCCGCCAGCCTTCGGGCCTTGCACCTTCTTCGCAGGCCAAGCCCTCTCCACGCCCGGCTCTGAAAGGAACCTATGGAGGTGGTTCCCGCCCGCGGGTGGGTGGGAAAGCCCAGGGTGACTGCCTCGGGGTCTTCCCCCACTTGCTGCGGGAAGGGGCAAGGGAGGAGGAAATGGACTTCGCCGCCTCGGAGAACTACCTCGATTCCAATCCGGGGAAGGCCTTTAGAGGGAAGGGAAAGCCAAGGGGGAACCCTGGGCGGTTTCCCGGGAATCCATTCGCCACGGGGAGGGTCACCCTGTTAGCACACACCAGTTACTATGACAATACAACCACAGCCATCAGTTGTCATGGCAGCTGCTTATCCAATCCAATTGATTTCCTTTCTCTTCCTCCCTGGGCTCCGCCCTATCCCCTCCAACAGTCTCCCAGCGTGCATGGGGAGGGGCCGCAGAGAAGAGGAGGGGGTCCTTCGCGTCACTCCTTAGCGCGCGAGGGAAGACGAGAGTCTGGGGACTGGCAGGCGGAACTGTGGGAGGAAGGGGCGGTGTTTCCGGTGGGGAAGAGTGGAGGAGTGGAAAAAAGAAATCGGGTGGAGTGGAAAGAGGGGGAAGACTCTGAGTGTAACTCCCGGTTATTTGGGCTCGATGTTCCCAGTGAGGCTGGGATTGCCCCCTCGCGCGGGAGGAGAGGGGTGGATTGGCAGGAAGCCTCCAAGCGCCACCAGTAGGTCGCTCAGCAGCTGCAGAAGGACCTCGCAGCTCGCTGATCCCAACAGCGAGCGCTACAGAGAGGCGGAAACCACCCGAAGCGACCAACACTACTGAAATCTCGCGAGAGGGACCCCCCACTTCCTTCCTCTGCTTCTCCCTCCTCTTTCCCCCGCCCCCTTCCCTCTCCCTCCCCCTCCCGGGTCGGAGTGTCCCTGCGCCCCACGGGCCGGAGCAGCAGCTAGAGCAGCTTTCCCCGCTCCCTCCTCCTCGCCTCATTCACCCCCCCTCCCCCGCCGAGCGAGGAGGAGCCGGAGGAGAGGAAGATGGCGGCGGCCGCCAGCACCCGCGGGGCCGCGGGGCCGCTGCGAGGAGCCTGAGAGACCCACGGAGGCTTCGCGGGAAGACGCGGCGGCGGAGGATGAGCCTGCAGAGCGCGCAGTATCTCCGGTGAGTGCCGAGGCCAGCCCAGTACGTAGGGGGAGCGGGCCTAGGATGGGGGCATAGAGCAACAGACACAGAGGTGGTACGTCCGGGGTGGCGGGGGAGTTACTGCGTCCTCTTCTCACCCGGCGGGGAGGCGGGGGCTGCGAGGGATCTGCGGGAGGGGGCGGAGCGGGCACACACTTGCCTGCATGGGTGCTTAGTTCTGCCGGCCAGGCTGAGCTCTGGCGAAGCCGGCCGGTCCTGGGGTGAGGAGGGAGGTTGGGGAAGCGTGAGAATGTGTACGAGCGCGCGCCGGGGGTCTCAGGCTCTCTGGCTAGGAGTGGGGAGAGGCGCCCGGGGATGGCTGCGGCGACCCCGAGTGGAGGTGGGTGTGGAGAAGTATGATCCCCGTGGCGGGGAAATCGTGGTGTGGCGTGGGATTGGCTGGAGCGATGCATGAGGAGAGGACAAGGAGGAAGTCTGCACACCTGGGGTGTTGTGGGAGACCGAGGAGGGCGAACAGGAGCAGGGGGAGATTGCAGGAAACTGGAGCTTTTTTTTTCATTCTCAGGTTTCGAGTACTGAGGAATAATGTCATCTGTAGGTAGTTCGCAGGGTGGTGGTGGGGGGGTGAAGAGGGGGAATGGATGGAGAAGTGAGGAATCGGGAGGTACTATGGACGAGGTTGGGGTTTTCCAGAAGAAACTGTGTTAGAATCAATGTAGTGTCGGAAGATACCATTTTGAGAGTCATGTACATTCTTTACGAGTGGTGTAAGGAACTTGTATGTCGGAGGTAGAGTGACACATGGGTACAGTATATGTGTGTGTATGTGAGGTGTGTCTGGGGTTGCGGGAGGGCAGTGATTGATGCACATTTCAGAAAGGAGAAGATACAGAGACACTGGAACTTAGTACATGATGGAGAGAGCATTTAATTAAAAGACACCAGCTATTGTGCAGCCAGAAAGATTACTTGGAGGCGAAATAAGAGCTTGAAGGTAGAGGTAGAGGGTCAAAAATCTTGATGGCAGGGAAAAAGAGGTTGTTAGATCTTGAGATTAATTGGAGGGTTGCTACTGCTTCGAAAAGAAGAAGGCCTTAAAACCGGTCCTTTTTGTCTCAGGAACCGAACTAAAAAAGGCAGGCATTTTGGGAAGATGTTTAAAAAAAAAAAAAGTGGTTTCATACCTTGCAGAGGAGAGAATTAGATGAGAGAGAAGTCTGAAATGAGCAGAAAAGTCACTTTAGCTGTTTAGTGGAGCGCATAAGTCTTGATATGTGGATCCCTATGTGGATATTGTGTGAGGAGGTGTGAAGATACATGATACATAGGATGAGATTCTACTTTTGTAAGTAGTAATGGTTTTATTAAGCATAGCATGGAGAGGAGAGAATGGTGAGGTCTTTGAACTATACCTGCATGCCTAAGCTTAACACAGGATATATGCCCAAAGAATATAAGGCAGTTGAAATGATTTTTTCTCTTCAGTGATCCCCTTAGTGTTTAATATATCTGATAAACCTAATAAATACAACTGTGAAAAATATATATGGTAATTACTGTAGGGGGATATGGAAACCATCAGAATAGTGGTTAATCCTAAGAAATTTGCAGTTTAGTGTCTGTTGGTCAAGTAAATTAATAACGGCACAGAGTGTAGTGTAGTATAAGTACCATAAAAGTGGGTTTTTTGCTTTTTTTTTTTTGAGACATAGTCTCATTTTGTCACACACACACACACACATCCCATGTAGTGCTATGGCATCATAGCTCACAGCAACCTCAAACTTTTGGACTCATGTGATCTTCTTGCCTCCGTCTTCTGAGTAGCTGGAACTGTAGGTGCCCTCCACAACACCTAGCTATTTTTAGAGATGGGGTCTTGCTCTAGCTCAGGTTGGTTTTGAACTCCTAAGCTCAGGTGATCCACCCACCTCATCCTCCCAGAGTGCTAGCATAAAACTGTTTTGAATCCAAAGGAGAACAAAATCCAGCTTCTTCCTGGATCCAGCTTCTTGGGGGGAATCAAGAAAAGTTTCCTCTGTTCATTTGCTCATTTATACGCTCATGTTTTGTTGGTATTTATGACCAGGGAAGTGTTGTACCAATCTTTGAGAACATAAAAGTAAGAATTCCACCCTTCTTTTACAGAGCTTACAGTATATTAGGCTTCAGGAAGAAGGTGACAATTGAATTGAGCTTTAAGGATGAAGAATATTCTGACAGATTGAGAAGAGGGGATTCCAAATGGAAGGAAACTAAGCAGAGATAATGTGGATAAGAAAGTTGGGGATGGAGAGGCATTCAGTCCAGGTAGACAGGAATGCAGAATGATTACAGCTAGAAAAGGTTAGAATTGTATGGACTATCATATTTGACCTTTTCCTTTTACAAATGAGCAAAGTGAGTTCAAGGAAGTTAAAATTGTTAAGAATCATTTAGCTGATATATAATTATATATGTGTGTAACTCAGATGTAGGTCTTCTATTAATAACTTCAGATCAACTGCATGTCTTGATGCTCATACATTCTTTCCACAAACATGGTATGTATTGAGCATTTACCATATTCTCAATTGCTGAGGATATACTAGTGAACATGGGACAGTATATTCTGGTAGAAGGACAGAAACATGAGCAGTTAAATATACATCAGGTGGTCACAAGTTCTAGGAAGAAAAGTAAGACAGGGATGAACTGATTTATATAGACAGAGTGGTCAGGGGAAGCTTATTTGATGAGGTGGCAATATTTAAAAGACCCTTTGCCATCTTCCATAGTTTAGTTAAAATGAGTAGAATGGAGAATCTGAGAAGATTTGTTGTAAGGGAATTAACATGTTCATAGCTGTATGTTAGGAAAATAATCTGTTGTGTAATGTATTGATGGATATATAGGGCCAGATTAAGATAGTGGCAGTGGGTTTAGAAAGATATTATGAAAAGCAGATTGGAAGAGTGGTTATATACTTTTAATGGGAAAGTCAGCAGGCTTTGAGAGGCTTCTTGTGTTAATAATATATCTTACAATGTATAAGTTGATGTGATAGGGAAAGCAATCTTATTTGTGAAATCAGTGGTAAACAGCTTGAAGTGAATTTAGTTCTTTGAAGATGAAAAAAAAAAAGGAAAGAAAGAATACAATGTTTAAATATTTTCCAGCTAAAATATTTACAATGGGGGGGGCATAGGTCCTGGAGTCCCTTTAAGATTCCTGGGAGCCAATCTTCTATCAATCTTGTACATCTGTCCTAAGTTAATAAAGCAATTTTTACAGCTTTAGAAGTCTGGGGCTGAAGTGGTGGTACAGGCCTGAATTTTCATCCTTCTCTCTTAGATATTAATTCCATTTAAAGTCTGCTGTGGAGTGACTAGAGAATGTCTTTAGGAATCATTATGTTCACTTTTATTTGAAAATAGAACTGTTGGTTTTTATAGACAATTCAGGGAGGATGCTGAGTATTGATGAATGAATGTGGTTGGGGGTAGCAGTTATTCTTTGTGATCTTGATTTTAGGAAGAGTTTTCTTGCCCATCTTTATCATCGGTGGAAGACCATGACTGGGCAGTTTTTAAACTGCATAGCTGTAGATACACCTTCATGTAAATGGAAATTAGTTTTGTCTCAGCTGAATTTTAGTTTGTTAGAGCAAAACTGGGTATCTGGCATTGAAATGGTGGAATTAGGGAAACCAGGAGGCAAGATGGCAGTTTCAGAAGAGTGAGAAATGAGGACATGAGATAAGAAAACTCAGTAAGACCAAGAAAGAAAAGGAATTCAACATCAAGAGGACTGAATTCCTTTATTAAAAGGATTTATTTTGTAAAATTTGGATTCAGTCAAAAGGCAACTCTCAAGAATCCAGAAGGCCACATGTGGCTACAAGCTGAATGGTACCCACCTCTAGATGAAATGGTAGGTAAGATATCATGCTTTAAAAGAATAGCATTTTGAAAGAATAGAAATGTGGAAATTGGGCAGCCCCTGTGGCTCAAAGGAGTAGGGTGCTGGCCCCATATACCCGAGGTGGCGAGTTCAAACCTGACCCTGGCCAAGAACTGCAAAAAAAAAAAAAAAAAAGGATATATGGAAGTTAACATATCAAAGTCAGAAAAGCCAAGGGTGGGGGAAGTATTAAACTACCAGAGAGAGATGTCATAACGTTGTTTTGGTGTTTTGGAAGATGAGAAAGTAGAATACTCATAGCCATAGAGAATACCAGTCAAACAGGTCAAATCCTGTTATAAAAGGTGACACAAGTGCCACCCAGTGACATCGGCTGTCTTTTTAGGAGACACTGTTCCTATACTGTACTCCCTCCAACTTTCCTCCTTTCTTTTTCGTCTTCAGTTTCTTCCTGTGCTGTAGAGGCTTCAGTGAAATCCATTTGAAGTTGATTACTGGTGTTGGACTCCTTTACAGGAAGGGTCCAGAAATTGTCTCTTTTGTTAGCTGTTTTTTTACATGATATATCTATAGTGACAAGGCTGCCTTTTGGTGGCATACTTCTTTGTCAGAAACTTTGTTGCCAGAGGTAGAAATAATATAACACCCAAGGGCAGTTTTCTGAGATAGCAGAAAAATGATTATCGTTTAAGTGGGAATTAAAAATATCCAATATATTATAAAATAAAATGTGTCACTGTAAATCTTGGGACAGAGAGAGACCAAAGGTATGAGGCTATATGAAATATAGCAAGTAGAGTGAGCCTTTTCCTAGCCTGGGGAACGGGGAAGATCGTAGGACTAGAATGGGCTTCCGGTTCTAGAAGGACCTAGTAATGCTGAGCCAAAATCACTGTCACCAGAAGCTTCAAGACGTCTATGACACATGCTGATTTTAATCTGTGTAGTCCATGAAGTCTTTAACCACCTGCCCATCTGCTCCTCTCCAGCATTCACATCCTTTACAGGATGTAAAATAGCTTTTGTCCCCAAATATCAGCCAAACATGACTAATTTACAAAATTTAAAATTATTTGAACTGCTTGACTATTGACTGGCTAGTTTATTTTGGCAGT